AAACACAGACGTCACCCAATGCAAATACCGGCTAGCTTAAATGAGGTTGTATAATTTGGCTTCTTCGCGAATATCAAATAAACGTAGTCGACTGTTCCATTCCTCTTTTCTCTCGTCGCTGCGCCTTGCAAGCAGCAACGCTATACTTTCCGATACCTATGCGGGAATATGATTGGTTGTTGATTAGCGTGTACCATCAGTTGCGCCCGTCCTATCCTTCAAGATGTTGCGTTCAACTTAGATCTGCTTATCGAAAATTACCGACCTAAAAACTAATGGGCAGTGCAGCCTCTCCGCTGGCACACTCAGTCTTTACTTGTGAGTGCTGGAACTTGGCGATTCGCTTTTCGCGGAGGGAACGGGTAGTTTTGCCTTGCAGTGAGCTGATGTGGTGGAAACCAGGGATGATGATTCATCGTTGAGCAAGGGCCGTTGAAGTGGAAGCAGCTAGGATGGCTCTGCAGAGTGTGTGCTTCATTGATAATGCATGTGCACATGTTGCAGACCACAAAGAGGATCGGGCACGAATCCGGGTAGAACATATTATACGAGAGGACTTCCTTGTTGAAGCGTACGAGTTGCTGGAAATGTACTGCGATCTCCTGTTGGCTCGATTCGGGCTCATACAGCAAATCAAGCATGTTTTGCAGTTCTGAAAGCCTCCAGTTACATTTCTTAAAAGCATTCAGAATTCTTGGATTTATTTGTTTGGTTACAAAATGAACATTTGTGTGGGGATGTAGTGGAATTGTGCTTGTTACAAAGCTCAGATCGAAGTTGAACAGTTTTCTTTGGTGTCCAACGAGAGGCGAACTTGTCATTTTGTTAGAGATCGGGCAGTATGACTAACATTCTGCAATTAAATTTTACGCACAGGTCTAGACTGGTGTATTTTTTGTGATTTTCTTTTGTCTGCCGTACAATTATTTCGGTAGATTTCCTGCAGGCAACTTGATGACGGTATTGCGGAAGCAGTTATTAGCATATTATGGGCTGCGCCTCGTGTGGCTACGGATGTAAGCGAATTTAAGGTTATTTTTTCATTCTTCAGAGCATGATATATTGGCACCGAGGCCAGCAAGCTTTTTAGCGCCTAGATTTTGTATTCGTTCGTTATATGTGCGATTAAATCATCTTTAGCATGTTCTTACGCAGTCTGCAGAAAAGGGAACCATTGGGATCTTACCAACATAGTTGTATTTTAAAAAATGCCATCACTGGCGCCACGTTCAAGTGCTTCCACTTCCCTCGACTAGTAATCTATGGAGGGAATATTCACGTTATCTCTCGCGCCTGCTAACGTAAATTCGTCTTCTTGTGCTCTCTTTAGTGTCGGTTTTATTGTCCACCATTTCGAAAATTTGCGTAGCAGACTGAATGCGATTATAGCAGTTTGTACGTTTTCTTTGTTTAACGGATATAGGGTGCATGATCTTTGCTATTTAAAAATAGCTCACACACACATTTTGTTGAGATGGTTTGGTATTTCCTGATTTCCTTCTACCCGGTAATCACTGTAATGAAAAGATTCATAAATTCTTAAGGTGATAAGCGATCAGTTGACAATGAAGTACGGTAAAGCATTTGCCGAAGCAGCTCGGTGCAATCAGCTGGAATATCCCGCTAAGGTTTCACCAAAATTGATTGCGAAGTTGAGTGTACAGGCACCCCCAAAGCTTCTGGTGGAACGGTGCGTGTGTTTTTTTTTTTCTTGGCTGTTTGGAAGATGTTCAAGAAAGTGATGATTGAACGTCGGGTTCAAGATAACTGAAAGGCGTCTAATCATTTTAGCTACATGATCGAGATTTCAAAAAGTGCAGGAATTCCATTTACACCAGATGCGAATGTAATGCGTGAAGACGAAGTGGCTGCTGCGGAACAGATGCTCATTGATTTCAAAAATCAAGGCGGCGTAAATTTTTTACTTAATGGATCTACTATTTCTTTTTTTTTTTCGAATTGTTTTTATTATTTGTTACCAGCTAAGACATAATCGGACTTTTAAGTAATGTAGGGCAAGCACACAGTGCATCAGTATTTGGTAGTTGCTTGTGCTGTGCAGAATTTTTTAACGCTAATGAAATAAAAGCAGTGCGAAGCCAGATAATCGGATGTCTTACTCTGTTCCTAAATATTTCATTGTAAAATTACAGCAAGGATACGGCTGGATGTATCCAGGAGACAGTAACAATGCAAACAAGAAAGGACCGCCGGCTTCACCACCTCCACCAGATGAAGGAACTGGTGAGTCTTCACTTCTCCAGCAGTTAATCTAGATTTTTCTTTTTTTGATCTACTGTTCAAAACTCATGCTGACGAAACCGGCATAAAAGGTTCATGAAAAAGTAAGAAAGAGTGTTCTTTTCAGGATACTATCCGGGACCTCCGCCACCCCCACCTGCTGGCTTTAAAGGTGGTTTTGGTGGGTCAGGTGGTGGTGGTGGTGGTGGAGGAGGTCTGCCAGCACAACCTTCATCAGAACCAGGTGATTTTGTGCCGTACAATTATCCTCGTTTAAGTCAGGCAAGTTTTTTTCTTTAGTATTTTTTGCAGACTTTATGAAATTCTAGTTATGCTTATGAAGCAGATGGAAAATCAGAAACATGAATGCACGCTTAGGGTTTTGAGGGTTGCTGCTCGTTAGTTTTTTTTTTTATCTAATTGGGTACTTTGAGTTGCATTTGCGGTCTTTTTTGAAAGCCGGAGGAATTTTTAAGTGGCCACTGAGGTGGTAGCTTTTTACAAACATTAGCCATTCGATGACAGAACTTATTTATGTCTCCTCTTTCAAGGGTTCCTTAGGAAGCGAGGTGACGCTTTTACGTATGCTAGACGTACCAGCATTTACAGAGTTACCACCGCAGCAAATTAACAAGTGCTAGAGGAATTGGCTATCTTACCGGCAGATTTCGAGGGATTTTGTATAATAAGCATAATAAGTTGAAATGCAGATTGGGGATCCATCGAGTGATATTAAATTGAATCGGAATGCTTCTCCAGGCGTGCCGTCAGCACCTCCCACCGATGCTCCGCCGTTTTCACCAAAAACGGATCTAGAAGGTTCGTTCCTGGCACTTTTTACAGTATTTTCAAAATTTTATTTATTGATAGTAGAGCTGTTCCCGCAGTGGCATTTTTTACTGACTTTTTCAAAAAGTAGAAGAGGAAAATTTTCTTGCTCATGCTTTTATTTTTTAATGGCCGCAGATAGGGTCCGTTTTTTGGTGCGTACGACCGCATAGTCCGACCAGTAAATGTGAATTAATAAGTGGACTTAGTAAATTTTTCACGAAATCAGCCTAACTGACATATTTTTTATACTTTAAAACCTCGTTGAATGAAAAAAATTCATTTGAAATCAAAGAACTGATTCAGAATACGCTTGAATTTTCATAACAATTAGAGTATTGCAGACGCACAGTTTCCTGTGCCTCCAAACAATGATTTTCCGGACACATTTGATGCGGCGCCATATCCAACATCTCAAAAAAGAGATGAGCATCCATCAGACCACAAGGACGAGCTCGATTTTGATGATTTGGCGAAACGCTTTGATATGCTGAAGAAGAAAGGCCCAAATTAATTTATTGTTTCTTTGTATGTAAGCAACTGTCCCATATCGTCTGTATTCCCACATATGTAAGAATAAAGTATTTACTATATTTGTGAATATTTGCAGTTTTGCTCGAGCAAACTGTCGAAAGTTGCACACGCAGGTGATTGCCGGCAATGAAGTATCCCCCTTCCCCCTCCTCC